CAGGTGTACATATATTCTACCTTATAAATGAGTAAATGAAGATAACACATTCAATGTAATTGATATGAACACAATTTTATTATTCATCTGATAATAAATAACTTTACTCAAGAAGATTTTAATTATGTATCTTGTATAACTAAAAAAGGAGCATGACAACAAGATGATTGTATATTCCGAATTTTATCAGATATTCTGAATATCTAAGACAATATCTAAGATAAGACTGTAAAAAGCACAACACTACTGCTGAAACATAAATCATGTTATTAACAACTACCAACAGTTTTTATGGGTGACTGCTTCTCAGCATGATAAATCATCATATTCATTTCATGAAGAAAAATATTGGTCCTTCCTCTGCACAGTAAATTCCTTAATGATAATATTTAAAAATTCTATTCTCTGAATTTCAGAGTACATCACAAAACATTGAGGAACAGAGATGCACGTGTTACTAAGGAGCTGCTTAGCCAAGTTTTTTCTTAAAATTTAATAATCAACTATAGAAAAAAGAAGCAATTAGAAAACGTGATTTAGCTATCATTAATCTACATCAAAGGATTATAATGATGTACATTGTGTGCCTTTCTAATTATTCTCTATTATAGGTTTCACAACAGAAGTTGAGAAATCTCTTCAATGAACCAGTCCCTTATTAAAAATCAAAGGAAAGTCCTTTGCTACCATCTGTGCAACATTAACGCCTTCACTGAAGAATGATTATTTTGTAAGTTAGGAAGCATTTAGCTCTATTTAAAAAAAAAACAATGGCAACACAGCTATTCAAACATTCATCTTCATCTATTACAAAGAAGTCAATGCATATATGAAACACTATGTAATCGTTACAGAAAGACCAGCATCTCTCTCTAAAGCAGAAACAGAAAGGGAAATTGTAACACTATAAAAGCATAATCAAAGCATTTTTTTTTTAATGTTACCAACACCAACATGTTTCATAGAACCTGACTGGCACCTGCAAGGTCTGATTTAATATGACAGGGATCAAGAGAAAATGAAAACTTTTAAGTTTAACTCCATTAGTAAAAAGAAGATTATGTCATAAAGGATAACGTAAAATTATCCATAAATGGTTGTCAGCAAAATGTGACAATCTCCTTTTTAAAGTACACTGAACCGAGAAAAACGTGTTCGAGTATTTAGAAGCTCATTTTAGCAAGTATTACTATAAATCAGGCTTCTTTATCTCCAGCATACCATACACTATGTCCATGGTTTGACAAATTCTTCCTAATTGCCCACCTTAGAGTAATTACATATATTATAGTAAATCCAAGTAACAAGGTTCATTTAAAAGATAAATTGTGAACTACAGGGTTTTTAAAAGAGAAAATGCAGAGACGTTCACCATTCCACTTAATTCATCATCTTTTACACATGACCATTTAACAGAATCATACTATCTTGGAGGGACAGCTTAGGAATCACTTAATCTAATACTCTTATCTTAATGAGAACATTTTCCAGTCTTCTCATTATAAAGAAGACCGTCATTTGTCCCCAACCATCAGTTCCTGGTATATAGTTTGCCATCTAACATTTTAGTTCTAGAAGTACTTACTAGGTAATCAACTACCACAAAGGTACTGCATAAAACACACTGAACAGACAAACTATCAAAGAAACAAAGGAAATGTTCCAGAAAAAAAATCTGAAATGCCCTTCAAGGCTAGTTTGTTTTGGGAAGACTTTGGGATGAAAACTTGGTGACTATGCAACTTATATTAAGGTAGAAAAACCTCTGCACCATGGAACTTAAGAGATCTGGCAGAATGTTATAATTCAGTATGTTTACACTCTAAATTTATTATAATTTTCTATCAAAGTAGCAAAGAAAGATATTACCATTATCATTTTTAAGAAGGCCTATGAATGCACAGATGTTACCATTATAAAATGAATTACTTAAACCAAATTCTAAGAATGTATTTTAAAATTATTTTAATTAGGTCAGGCATAATGGCTTATGCCTATAATCCCAGCACTTTGGGAAGCGGAGGTGGGAGGATCATTTGAGGCCAGGAGTTCAAGACCAGCCTAGACAATACAGCAAGACCTTATCTCTTCTTAAAAAAAAAAAAAAAATTAATTGGCTGGGTATGGTGGTGCATCCCTCTCATCCTAGCTACTTGGAGGGCTGAAGTGGGAGGATCTCTTGAACCCAGGAGTTCAAGGCTGCAATGAGACATGATGGCCCCACTGCATTCCATCCTAGGCAACAGAACAAGACACTGTCTGTCTCAAAATAAATGAATCATTTTAATTAAGTTTAGTCTCTAAGATATAAATTAGCATTGCCAATTTTTATCCAACTCAATTCAACAAACATAATGAATACCTACACTTCTAACCCAAAGGTTGCGCAAAATAGAAAAACAGTAAATAAGAAATTTACAACACAATTGCCTGTGTAGCCTAGGTCCTCAGTTTCCTTACCTACAGAATAACGGAATTAAAGATCTTGTTTCTAAATTTTGGATTATGTGTTATCTAAACAGTGAAATTCAACTCAGTTTAACGTAAGTCATGTTGAAGGCAGCAGTGCTTAAGTCTGGTAAGAACTAAAGTAATTATTCCTAATTATAATAAGGAAAACAAACACAAAATGGCCTTTGGAAAATTAATCAGTAGAATGATCTCTCCAATCTCCAACTCTATGTAGATGAGAAAGGCTACATTCTAAAAGGCCTCAGAAACTTGTTCTAAACTCAGTTTTCTAAATATCTTTAATGATGAAATATGAAAGCATTTCATATTCCATAGTCCTCAAAATATAAATGATTCAAACATCACTAGCCAGAGTAAAATTTCTATCAAGTCTATCTCACTCTTCTTTGCGCCCCTATAGTATGCCAGAACTGACAGCAGTAAATCCATCAAGGGTTACCTTGCTCTCTGTTTATCACCATGAAAAATGTTATATTACTTGTTATAAATTGTGTTCCTCCTCTACCAACATTCATTTGTTGAGGTCCTAACCCCCCAGTAACTTAGAATGAGACTTTATTTGGAAATAAGTTCAGTGTAGATGTAACTAGTTAAAATGAAGCTATACTGGAATACAGTGGACTCCTAATGCAATGACTCCTGTCCTTGTTAAAGGAGGAAATTTGATACAAACTAGGAAAATACCATGTAAACATAAAGATGGCCATCTACAAGCCAAGGAGGCTGGCCTGAAGCAGGTTCCCTCTCACAGTCCTTAACAGAGAACCAACCTTGCATATACTTTGATCTCAGACTTTGAGTATCTGAAATTGTGAGACAATGAATTTCTGTTATTTAAGCCATCCAGTTTGTGATACTTTGTTACAGCAGTTCTAGCAAATGAATGAATACATTACTTCACAGCAAATGGTGAAGAACCAAATCAAAATATCATCATAGCCACATATCCCAAAGTAGCACTACAAATTTCAATGCAAAGCCAATAATCCTAACAGATCACACACTTCTAAGAATCTAACAGAAGACACTTTCACACAAACATGAACAGTTTCCATACTGCACAATTAACTCAAGAGGCTCACTGATCCTGTACCCACTTCAACTCTGAACACTGCCAAAAGTGCGTGGGCCCCTAATTAAGAACCCCTGCACTGACCCATGGTATCTATGTGGGGAGAGAAAGCTAGATCACATACCAATCTTTTAACTAGAAAAAAAAAATTATCAGTATTATCTCTGAATAAGAATAGTTTAGATGACCTAATGACAATTTTTTTCTTCAGTGTGTTCTTAAAACACTGTAGTTGTGTATTACAACTACAATATCATTTTTAAAACAGGGCAACTTTTAAAAATGTGTGGATAGTTACATCTGAAAGTAGGTAAAACTTCTGCACTACAGCACATTTTATCTTAAAGAATGGAGTCAAATACAATGATGCAGATAAGTAGCTGCAGGAAATTTTTCATAGGTATAGACTGATGTGAGTTCTAATTCTTAAAAACACAGACCTGTGGTACGACTCAAAGTTTTTGCCACGTTTCTTTATTTTGTACACTCAACTTCATCTTTAGTAGATGACAGTAAGACATCATGGCAAAATTCTAAGAACAAAAGATTTAAAAACAGAAATCTAACACTTTTACATGAGCATTATCAATCTTCCATGGCATCCTGCCAGTCAAGAACAGGCTCTTCTACAAACACACACTAAAATGGCATGATCTGGCCAATAAAAAGACAATCCCAATATCCAATTATGAAGATACAAAATATTTTACTTTCTTTCCACAGTTGATTAGTTCTCAGCAGAAAGCACAACAGAAAGATATATAGTTAATACACAGAGTCTAAGGACAATTTGAAAAACGTTAACCCCCACTTAAATAGAAAAGAAAATGAATATTAGATTTCTGCTCTTTCAAAATGCGCTAATCTAATTAATTCAGTCTAGAAAAGTGATCCCTGGAAGAGTATTGTATTCTATCTTGGGAAAGTGTATTTAAGTGAGTTAAGTGCTATTAAGGCCAAAATCACTATCCCATATATATTCCACGGAAGTTATCATAAATGTAAAAAGCAGGCAGTGTAAAAGCAGCAAAAAAGTTCCTGGATTTACAATCAGAAATGGGCTCTATTTCTCCAGCTTCTGGTACTAACTACACATGTGGCTGTAGGCAAGGTTATTTCACCTCTCTGGACTTCGATTTCTCAACAATAAAATAAGGGGATTAGACTTTAATTATCGCTACGGTTTCTGTCATTTCTCAAAATGATCTCCTAAAAAACCACTGAGTGTGGTGTCACATGCATGTACCCAGGAGGCTGAGGTGGGAGAATCCCTTAAATGTAGGAGTTCAAGTCTGGCTTGGACAACATAGAGAGACTCATGGCTATTTTGTTAAAAAACTCCACATTTATAATCTGAAATATATCATTCAGAATTCCAGACAGATGTTTTACATACTTTACGTGACGAATATGAATTCACCAGTTTTTAACTAAGAGAGGCGGGGATACTTCTTACCTGAGAGCTTATTGTCATGTAGCAAATTTCGAAGCTTACTACAAAGTTGAATCATGCTGTCCAGTTGTCTATTAATCTTCACATCTTGTATCCAGGCTGGGGTGTAACACACTGGACATTCAGTTCCAATGCAGTCGCTTACACAATTACTTAAAAAAATTAA